CTTCATCGCCGTGAAGAACTTCTCCTCGATACGATCCCACATCGCATCCTTCGTTTGCTCCGTACCTTTAAAAAAGTATATAATTATTTTTTTTGACACCATTAAATATAATATATATAAATAAAAATATAAATATATTAGAAAAAACAAATTTTTTACCAATGATAGGATGCTCGGAGACGTCAACCCAAGCCGACGCCAATATGCACTCCTCCTCCGGCGTCCACTTTTGGATTGCCCGTGCCGCATCGGTCACCGTGGTTTTGGCTTTGTGGCTCCTCCGGCGTGTACTTTTTTTCGATCCAGACGGTTCCGGTTGAGTCTCCGGAACCGAATCTCGGTCGACGTACCCCGATTGTTGCATCTCGTATATCGGCGGTCGATCGCCCCACTCATGGTAGAACCACATCGCGGCGTCACTCGGGGGGAGATTGTTGGGATTGAAGCCAGAGCCGGAAGGATTCATGTTGAAAATTGGGAGGAGGGATTTGAATTTTGAAATTTAAAAATAAGAAAGAAGAAGAGATTGGAGTGAATGTGTGAGAGATAGGTTGTGGAGGGTTGAATTTATAGGAAAAAAATTTTTTTTTTTTTAAATATGGGTGCAACGGCTATTTTAGCCGTTAGGAGGGAGCAGCCGATTTTCCACGCCGCGTCATTCGTTTGACGCAGGCGCCCTCACGCCCGTTTCACGCCGGCGGGGGCGGTGTTTCACGCCCCCGGGGCGTTAAACGCCCCGTAACGCCGGTGGGCGTGAGAGATGTTACCAGTGCTCTAACCCCTAACATATTGTCAAAAAGGATTTATAGACCTAACATAATTTGTAAGGTCTAGCAATATTAAAAATGTGACAGATTTGCACTGCTTCACCTGTCGTGAATCAAAACAACATAGAAGCATTTCATTTTCGAAAATTGACCAATAAATCTCGCAAAGCCAAAAAAAGAAAAAAAACAAATAGGAATAAAATGGCATTTTGGCATCCCATAAAATAATATTTAGCACACAGGAAAGTCACCCAATCGGACAAACCATAATGTCATTGTAAATTCATTCATAGCAGTGAAAATAAAATTAGTGAAAGTTTATAACAAAATGGTAAAAGTCACTGCTGCCCCTCGGCGCCCAATTCCCGCTTTGATGCCTCCCTGATCTCATCTCCAGCATCATCCTGTAAAAGCCATACTCATTTAGTGTGCAATTTGTTTACACGAAGGGCATCCCATTCCAGGGAGAGAAGTAAACTTATCAGCAACAACAACAACCCAGTTGAATCCCACTACAGTAGAAAACTTATCAATGAAGCATAAGCCGATGGAATTTGGATGATAAAGAGGAATTCTAAGGGGTGGGGTCGGGGTATAGGCAGCCAACGACCCTACATTTGCTACCCAAAGTCGAATAGAAAGTAAAAGGCAAGGGGAATTAAGTGTGCCAATTTGATTAGTTTGTTATGTGTGTCCGGAACTAAATGCATTTGAAATCGACGTGCTCACTTTCAAGACCCTAAGATTACTTTAACGAATTCTGTTAAACACCTAAGTAAAATGAGAAGACATAGAGCACATAAAAATTTCTAACAACAGGTATGGTATGGTGAAAAAAACACAATGTGTGTGTGTGTGTGTGAAAGTGAGTGTGAGTGTGTGTGTGTGTGTGTGTGAGAGAGAGAGAGAGAGACCGCAGCATCAGAAGTCCACAATGTTAAATTGTCTCTAAGAAGCTGCATGATCAGTGTGCTGTCCTTGTAAGATTCTTCACCAAGTGCATCTAGCTCTGATATAGCTTCATCAAAGGCCTGCAAAAACATGGACATCTCACAAATTTTCGTAGGAGCAGATATTGTTGAAAGTTGATAGATAATTAGATACATATCAATAATGGATAATTTCATTAATTTGACATTTTTTTAGGCAAGTGGACAAAGTGCGTGACAATGAAGTTTGGAAGTTTCATATCATTATTCCTACTTTAACAACATCTGATAGTTGGTATGAAACTGTACACAGCTGTTTTATTTGCTAAAAAAATATAGTTTTAAATATTTTTAAACAATTACTCTGCTTATGACAATAATGAACAGATGCCTATGGGGAAGAGTCCATTGGTAGCATTTCATTGTACGCCTCTTACATAACATTAGGATATTGGAGCATATATTTTGGATTGGATCAAATGAGAATGACGCCTTACGAGAGAAATGAGAACCAATATGGTGGAATTGGTTCAAGATCCAAGGAGTCTAAATCATCAAATATAAAGAAAATAAAAAAACGCAGTAGCAATTAAGTAAACAAACAGAGTTTTCTTCCTCACAAAAAGTGCACTACAAGAAGATAAAAGTGCAATGTGAAAAACCAAGAGTGCACCAAAAGTGATAATTTCATGTTCGCTAAGGATGACATGAAGTGTCATTATCAAAGGGCCACACCAATTGACTTAAAATTATTAGAAAAAAAATGCAAAAAACAGTGGTATCTATGTGCATCCATTAGCAATAGTTCATTCTTATTAAACACCAAATACAGCTAAATAGCTAATTCTCATCCATCAAATAACAATAAATACAGATAAACCATAATCATATACTCTGTATGTTACAAAACAACCACAAGATAGAAACTGATGAGAGCAACTGGACATCATGGGAGACAGATAGAAGTTAGTATACCTGCTTGGCGAGGTTGCAAGCACGCTCAGGTGAGTTGAGGATTTCATAATAGAAGACAGAGAAGTTAAGGGCAAGTCCTAGTCTGATGGGGTGAGTCGAAGCCAATTCACCCAATGCAATGTCCTACACCAAAGAGAACAAAGGTTACTCTTACTCCTTTAACACAAAGCAAACCAATTCAGCCCGTTTTGAACTAAGCAAGTGATACAAAAACAATATATAGAGAGGAGCATATAAAAAAGATAAAATAAAAAAAATTAGTTAATAGTTTCAAAGTCAATGTATCAAACATAAATATTTTCCAAACAACATCTTCTTTAAATATTTCTATCATATAAAGACTAAGAATCTAACTAAATGTAAAAGTTTAAAAATTGTAATCTCCTTCATATTTTCTAAGGTAAAACAATTCTTGTCAGCATTTTCCCTTTCCCTACCATTTCTAGAGTTCCAACCATAGCCTGAAGCTTAATGAATATAAGCAAAAACAAGGAAAATACCCAACCTGAGCAGATTTGTATGCCAACAAAGTGCTCTCAGCTGCTTCCTTTCTCTCAGACCCGGTCTTGAACTCTGCAAGGTACCTATGATAATCACCTTTCATCTTCAAGTAAAACACCTTAGACTCGGCAGCAGAAGCCGAGGGAATCAAGTGGGTCTCGAGAAGGTTCAAAATGCCATCACATATCTTGCTGAGCTCTGTCTCGATTCTTCCCCTGTATTCCTTAATTGTTTTGACAAGGTCGTCATGCCCACGGTTCTCCTCCTTTTGCTCAATCGAAGAGATGATCCTCCACGAGGCCCTCCTTGCACCAATCACATTTTTGTAAGCCACAGAAAGAAGGTTCCTTTCCTCCACGGATAATTCGTCTACATCCACTGTCTTGGCAACCTTCTCCATGAACTCAACCATTTCCTCATACCTCTCGGCCTGCTCAGCCAACTTTGCCATGTAGACATTCTCTTCCCGAGACAACTCACTTGACACCATCTTTGCAATATTTGTTAAATACCTAATTCTGCAGAACAATGCAACATACGGAGTACCAGATATGAAAACAGACATCTCTACAATCATGTTTATTCATAATCATTTATATTTTGATTACATACAATGATACTAATATATGTTACACTTTGAGTCACTGAATGACCATTGGATTTTAGTTCCTCACGATATAACTCAATATAAACAACCATTTTTTCCTGAAGAAAACTAATCTTAAATTAATGAAGAAGAATCAGTTAAAGCGTTAAGTGCGTAGTAATGTAAGATCATAATGAGCTCTTACAAAAGATAGTTCAAATTACAGTTTCAATCAGTAAATCAGAAGGAATATTATGTACTCTTTCGGAGTGAGGATGCAAATTGCAGCCTCAATACATGTGTACTGTAGTAAGGCAAAAAAGCAGAAATAAAAACCTAACAGGCCTATATCATATCCAATCAAAAAACACACTTTCAAGCATAAAAAGCCTACTCTACCTATACCTAATCAACCCCTAGTCCATACCTGACAAGAACATCGAAACATTATATACACATATAAGCACAAAATCAACACAGACAATGCTCAGCATTACAAAACCAAAGAGGTACTTGAGAATCAGCAGATTCGATCAAACGTAAATCGAATTAACCTTAATTACTGCTTCAATCAACTAAACAGAGAGCCGAAATTACAACCCGAAACCGTAACTGAGAAGAACAGATTAAAACTTCGAATGAATAAAGGGATCAAACGGTGATGAACTTTGGATCTGCAACTTCCAGATAGAACTTAGAGATCCAATAAACGACTTACTGCAAGAAATTGAGAGAGAGAAATTTACCGGAGAAGCGGCAAACGCTGGGCGGTTTTCCGTCACGCTTAGCACAAGAATGGAATGGTGGAAGAAGAGCGGTTTATAAAGGGAGCGGTTGGGGTTTTGGGAGGCGCGTGGTGGGGCGTTTCGCGTGAGTCGCACGCGCGGACTCACATGCCTCACGACAAGTCGATATTTATCATGCCAGCCTAAATGTTCTATTCTGCTCCTAAATTGCGTTGTTTGACCGGATGGTCCATTTTTGGAATGATATTGATTTTTTCCTACCTCCTAATATTAAAATCATTCAAAATATATTTGTATTTTCCGAGTTCGTTTTCTGACCATTGTTTTGGGAAGCAATTATGATACTCGTAGAAAATAAAACTTAGGTGCTAATTAAAAATTTCGGAAAATTTCGATAAGACTGGTGGAATTTACTCCATATTCCCTCCATCTTGAAAATATTTTTTGTTATGAATTGTGTGGTTGAGTTAATTTCTTTTTAATCAACTTAATTTAGATGAAAATTTAGATAAAATTTAAAAAAGGTAAAATTATATTCCCAATATTAAAAAGTTATATCGAGAGTTCATTAAAAAAGTGATAATTACCAAATGAATAATAAAAATTATTAAATTTTGATCCTCAAATAATGAACAATAAAACCTTTTTGTAAACTAAGAGAGTCCTACGCAATTGAGTTCAAACATACTAAAGCAAATATAATAGGGTCAATAGCACTATAAAAAGCAAATAATAAAAGGAAATTAACCATATCTACAAATACAGGAGCGGACCTACGTTGGGTTACACGGGATCAAGTGACTCCACAGAAATTTTAAATTTTTTAGTATATGTGTATATATACAAAATGTTTTTAGTGTATACCTATATTTAGTACTACATCCGTCCCGCTATATTCGTCCACTTTTGACTTTTGAAATTGTTCATCTAAGCACTTTGACTCATCAAATTCTCTCAATGTGTAAGCCTAAATATAGTCATGTGTGATCTTGTTTGATTTGTCTTAACATATAGATTATTAATATATAATTTTTATAACTTTTTAATATACAAATTACAAGATAAAATGGATTAAAGAAGTGTATTGGATAGTGTGCAAAAATGAAAGTGGACAAATATAGTGGGACGGAGGAAGTATATATTTTACAAAATGCTCCTTAATTCAACTTGTAAATGTTGAGGGAGTGAAAACTCCATGTTTTACAATTGGGTGGGCACTCTTAGGCATTTTTAAAATGGTGTCATTTTTCTCTTTTTTCAAATTTTGTCTTAAACCTAAAAAACTTCGAATGGGTTTATTGATTTGTCTCTGAAAATGGGTTATAGGAGAATCGGAAGGCTATGACATGTCAACATGTTTACATACTCATTAGGTTAGCTTTGCTTCTACCATTAGCAACTGCTAGTTTTGAACGTGCTTTTTCAATCATGAAGTTTGTGAAGAATGAGATTTGAAACAAAATCTGTGACCAATGATTAAATGATTGTCTAGTAACATATATTGAAAGAGATGTCTTTGCTACTATTAACAATGATAATATAATATATCACTTTCAAAATATGAAAACTAAACCTTATCAATTGTATGATGCATTTCACATTGTAATGTAGAACTATTATTAATTAGTATTTTCAATAATATATATAAACTTTAATGTTATGTATTATAGAATACTTTTATTTACTGTAAGAAGCGTGATGATTAAATATAAATTTTCTAAATTGCGACTTTATATATGGTTCAAATATTATAGGTCCACCCCTGCAAATACCCCGATACAAAATCATGTCATTCTATCTCTCTCTTGTCAGCAATGTTAACCTCACCAGCTCCATAGGAAAATAAAAACAGTCCCGCTAGGGGTTCACCACTTGTGTACCCCATATGCACACCATATACTCCTCCTCACCTCTCCCATACCCCCACCCCCACCCCTGTTTTTTCTATTCTCATCCAATTTCCCATTCTTATCTCTCCATTTCTCTCCTTCGATTTTCTTTTTTCTTATCAATTTTTTGCAGATCTGGTTCATCGGACATCGCTAATCCTCAGCAGCACCATAACTCGCCGTTGCCATATGTCTTCCCACGCGCCGGCGCCGCTGCTATGTGTCTTCCCACCTGCCGTCGCTGCTGCTTTGTGTCTTCCCACCCGCCGCCGGCCTTCTTTTCTCTCTCGCTGCCCAAAAACTGCACAAAGGAGGCTCTCCGTGACCATGGCTTAAATATCCGTCTTCATCGTCAATCTCGAAACCTTAATCAAATGAGTTTGTGCGTGATAATGTATGAAGAACCCCCATTCTCCCATACTTTTGCAAGTAAGTTACATTAAACCCTTGTTTCAGTTGTTGATTGCCTTAATGTTTAGTTTTTTTAACTAACAGAGACACTATGATGTATAGGATTTTGTCAAACAAGCTTGGATTGTTTGTGAATCTTTCAAAAAATGCAAAAATTTTGGGACATAGTCATTTAATGTTACTTGTTGAGTATTTTTTTGGATCAGACATACTTCACAACCCTTATCAACAATAGGAAGGATCATAAGTGATGTTTATAAGTGCGTATATTTTCACAAACAATATGCTATTTCCAGTACTATAACACAGACAGAGAATGTATGTGTTAATTGGAACTGAAGAGTTTGAGTGTTGTGACGAATGTTTTGATGTTTGAAAGATTTACTAACATGTGGATGTTATTAGAGATGAACATATTTTACCAATCATTTTGGACCGTACATGTTCGAAGCGGAAGGACGCCCCACGTAAGATTTGATTTCAGACAACAGACGAGAAAATTACTCGCAAACAAAAAGTAAACAAGAAGGGGTGATGCAATGCTGATAACGAAGATCTATGTCAAATGTCAAACAACCCTTACAAGCATTTTGGAGTTGGCAGTGGAGAAAAAGAAGTTCCAAGTCAAAGGTCAAGCGAGCCTTCCAAGCGTGTTCGAGTTTCAACGCAGGCATGGGAAGTCCTAGATGAGTATGGGATTTTTGAATAAATAGTATTAAGTGTAGATTTGTAAAAAAATATGAATATTTAGTCTATGTGTGATCTAAGATTGGCAATTGCAATTTGTTTTCTTTCTTTTTTCAAATGCAGAAAACTTAGAAAGATATTGCACTTTTAAACCATGTTACACTGACATGACGAGTCTGTATTTGAAGGAGTATAGAAATCTTATGTCTGTGTGACTTGATAGTTGTAATTGAGGTTTTCGTGAATTTTTTAAATTTTTAATTGAGGTTTTCGTCTAACAACCTATACTCGTAACTACAGTTAGAAAATATATTACATATACTTAAAAAATATTTTTAATTTCAAAAAATAAACAAAAATTTTACGAAACAACAATTTATATTTTCAAAATAAGCCAAAAATTTGAACCAAAACTAGTTGGTTGTTCGAACTATCCAACACATTCAGATTTCAAAAGTAACAACATATTAAAATCAAAATAACATTTAGATAATATGTGTCTGTGATTAGTAAAAATGAACAGTTTCTATCGGTGAAACTAAAAGGGTAATTACCCAAGCGTGGGATGTCCCAGGTGAGGATGGGGTATTTGACCTTACCATTACAAACCTGGACTTGTCTTTAGGCATTCCATAGCTTCAAAGGGTATGGATCCTTATTTTTGTGTAAATACGATTTTGTATGTAAATGTCACAGACATATCTCACGCAGGACATTGTGATTACAGAAATTTAATGTCTGTGCGTAGTAGTATATTTATGTCTGTGTCTACATGTATCTAAGTGTCACGATTTTTTTTGTCAAAACATGAAGATGCTAGTAATGACATGTAAAAATTTTCATACACAAGCTATCTTTGACATTGTGGGTATATTTATAAAACAGACACTTCTAGCCTAGGACATGGATAAAAAAGACACTTCTCGCCTATGACATGAATAAATCAGACCCCATGACATTGGGTATACTTAGAAAACAGACATTTCTCGCATTGGACTTGACGGAAACAACAAACCGTTGTCTCACATTGGGTAAATTTATAAAACAGACACTCCACGCGTATCGTAGGACAAGAAAAAAACAGACACAACGAATCTGTGATTTTGTGTATAATTATAGTTTGGATTTTTGTGTCCAGGGTTTTAAGTCATAAAAAGTGTAGATGCCAAAGTATTTTCAATGTATGAAGTATGTAAATAGAAGTGTCAAAATTTAGAAACAGACACTTCTGTCATTGTACACTGAAGATAAATGCAGAAAATGTCTGTGAAAGAAAACATGGCAGATATGGTAATACAGGCAGGAACATGACGAAATGAGAAAACATAAACAAAAAACATATGTGTTACACGAACAGGTCAGGGAGTAAATGTTTGTGTGTTACAAAGAGATAACCCATTCACAACAGGTAACTAATGTTATCAACCAAAAACACATTGAATTCATTGATTTTAAGGACAATGTTTAGGTACATTCCCTTTCCTCAAACGCCACAAGCGAACAGCGAATTCATTGCGGAAGTCTTGGACATGATCGTGTTTACAACTTGATAGTAGTGGCAAGCGAGCCATCAAGTGTTCCGCAAATGCAAGTACCATGACGCCACAGACACCGGAACTGCACCAACATAAATTAATCATGTCAGTGCACACATGACATAAAGAGAGCAAAGAAAACTAATAACTTTAGCGTAGTACTTCTATTAGAGATATGATAGTAAAAAATGGGCAAAAACATGATACAAAGCACGCAAGCAAGAAACACTGAAAACAGATCGTCTGTTGTCTGATTTTCACATACATTTGCCATTTTTTCAAAAACTAAACATGGAAATAACATAATTAAGAACTTAGGGTTCATAATAAAAGAACAAAAAGTAATAATTCAGACACATAAAAACATGATACAAAGCACGCAAGAAATTAAAACAGAAAATAGATATTCTGCGTCTATGAGAAGCAGTTCACATACATTTACCATTTTTTCAGACATAAACATAAATAACGGTAATTAAGAACTTAGGGTTCATAATCCAAGAAGAAAAGGTAAAAATTCAGCATATATTCACCTAGAAGATCCCTGTTTGTTTGTTTTTTTAATTCTTCTACTTCGGACCATGCATTTCAATGGTCATTTTTTAAGAATTAAACTCAGTTTGTGAAGCAATAAATTATTTTAATTAATGGAAGTTTGAGGAAATTCTGCATCACATTTGCTCATTATTTGATACACAAACCAATTACGCAGTTTTGGGGAACCTATGCATCAGATTTGGGGAAACTCAGCTTGTGGCTGCCATTAGAGAATCAATTTACGGGAACTTTTTCCTTGTTTATTTAATCGCTGCAATTTTCCATTTTGGCTAGAAATTCAGCATATTAATACCTAGAAGTTGATGATGTTGCGAGAGACAATCACCGGCGATGATGTTGCGAGAGAGAAAATTGAGAAGACGCAGGGACAGGGAAGGTGCAGGGACGGAAGAAGCGGCGGGTGAGATAAGGGGTGAAACCAAAAGAAAGAGAGAGAAATTTTATTTTTTGGGATGGGGGGGGGATTTCGTGGGGGGTATGAAGTNGAAGTTGATGATGTTGCGAGAGACAATCACCGGCGATGATGTTGTGAGAGAGAAAATTGAGAAGGTGCAGGGACAGGGAAGGTGCAGGGACGGAAGAAGCGGCGGTTGAGATAAGGGGTGAAACCAAAAGAAAGAGAGAGAAATTTTATTTTTTGGGATGGGGGAGGGGATTTCGTGGGGGGTATGGAGTATATGGGGTACATCCGGTGTACATATCCGGTGTACCCATAGAATTATCTAAATAAAAAAAGTCCAATCCAAATCAAATGACTAAAAAAGTTACAGTAAAATTAAAATAGATAATTATATTATTCAAATTTCTTCTTAAAAAGATAATTATATTATTCAAACTTTCAGTAAAAAAAAGAAATTATATTATTCAAATTTCTTCCTAATGTTGCTAATTATATTATTCAACTAAAAAAGATAATTATATTATCCAACTTTCTTCCTAATGTTGTTTTGGGTGATTGCACCTACGACTCCCAGAAGGACAATAGACCTCTCATGAAATAGTTGCTAATGATTTGGTTAACTTGTCTCCGAATGTCTCCGAATTTTGAAAATTTCAATGACAGATAAAACATTTGCTCTTAATGTCACTAATTTCTCTACTTATTAAAGATGACCTTTTGTGAGGTTTTATAGAGATATGCAGATAGCAAAATGTTGGCTGGTTATATGAATCTATGATAATAATGATGATGATGATAACAACAACAACAACAACAATAATAATAATAATAATAATAATAATTAGTATTATCATTAGTGGTGGATTCAGGAATCATAAGGAATGGGGGTGAGATTACTAATGGGGTTCGGAGCAACGCTTCTGTTTTTTTATCAAAATAACAATGTGAACTTACAAAAAAAAATATTATTTTTACTATATGACACATTTAAATAATTAATGAAAAATCTAAAAAGTATTTCCTATAATTTTATTTTCTCTAAATAATTTTTAATTTAGACTCAATTAAATTTTAAATATTATTTTTGTAAATGGTAGATAGTTAATTTTCTACTTAAAATTTATTTTTGTTATGGGCATTTTATTTTTTCAATGGGGGCATAACTATTTTTTTTAAAAAAAATTAGGGTACTACTATGGACAATTTTGAAATTTATTGGGGGCAAATATTTTCCCAATTAATTTGTACCTAGATCCGCCCCTGATTATCATTATTATAAGCATCAATATTATCATCATCATCATCATCATCATCATCATCATCATCATCATCATCAACTACATGGTAAATTTTTTTATTGTAAATTATAATCGCGTAGATTTAAAATAATTTATAAATTTTAGACACTCAATAATCCATAAATTCCAGAGAGTCTATAAAGAAAATTAAATATAAATTGAATATACCCTCTTTTTGCATTTTTTATTTTGGGTTTATTTGTAACATTTTACACTTCACCAAAAAAAGTGTAGAACGCTGGTTTCAAACTTTCAATTACAAATCCAAACAACAAATATACGAATCCACTTCCGTGTAGTATCTCTTCGAGAAGAAATAGGCGTCATGGGTTACGTACAAGAAGCAAGGGAGAATCACGTCAAGAAGAAGGTTGAAGAAGGTATGCACGCATACATCTCTTGTCAAAAACACGAACCCTAATTTTAATTTTCCTGAAATGATGTGAAGAAACTGTGTTATTATGCAATCAACGAATTCGAGAGAATTCATTTCATCCCCC